ATGACGAGTTTTCGTAACCAAATACAGTGAAAGGAAAAAGAAGAGGGAAAAAACCCTGTAGCTTAAAGGAAACTCCAGATAGCACAAACCAAATGCAACTTGTCAACCTCTTTGGATTCTCATTCAAACCAACCAACTTTTAAATAAAATGATGAGACAATCAGGGAAACCTGAACACTGGCTGGATATATGTGATGTGAAATAGTACTAAAGTTTTAGGTGTGGTCATGGTGTCATGGTATTGTCTGTATTGGGCTTGGTACTGTAGCGTGATCACAGCTCATTGTGCCCTTGAACTCCTGGGCTCAGGTGCTCCTTCCACCTCAGCCTCCTGAGCAGCTGGGACTACAGGAACACACCACACTCAGCTAATTTTTTTTTTTTTCTGTAGAGATAGAATCTCGATATGTTGCCCAGGCTGCTCTCAAACTCCTGCCCTCAACCAATCCTCCTGCCTTGGCCTCCCAAAGTGCCGTGATTACAGGTGTGGGCCACCATGCCCAGACTTTGGTGACTTTCAAAATGTCTTTTAGAGGTACATACTAAAATATTTGTGAATGAAATATCAGAAGTGGCATTTACTTCAACATACCTGAGAGTGGAAGGCAAGTAGAGATTGGAAGAACTTGAGTCAGAGGAGCATTCTCTGATCTGGGCTCTGACACGGGCAGCCTTTCCCCAGTGACCGCCAAAGGATAATGGGAAGGCCGTGCTTGTGGGAGCAGCGGTGACATCTTCCTGTCAATGGTGCTGTGACCCTAAAACTACTCTAAAAAAGAAATTCTTGACAGGGCTCAGTGGCTCAGTCTGTCACCCCAGCACTTTGGGAGGCTGAGGAGACTGGATTGCCTGAGCCCGAGGGTTCGAGACCAGCCCGGGCAACTTGGCGAGACCTCGTCAATACAATAAAATAAAAATTAGCAAGGTGCGGTAGCGCACGCCTGCAGTTCCAGCTACTTGGAAGTCTGAGGAAGAAAGGTTCACTGGAGCCCTGCAGGTCGACGCTGGGATGGCCATGAGTGTGCCACTGCACTCCAGCCTGGGCCGCGGAGTGAGACTCCCGACTAAAAAAAAAAAAAAAGAAATTCTTTAAGAAGTTAGTGTAATACCCCAACCATAAGTAGAGCATCTAAAAGGAGCCATATGCATTTTAATATGCAAATATTCCAGCAGGTTCTGAAAGGGGCTTGAGGAATGTAACAGCCCTCAGGAGGCTGGGCCGCTGGTGTCTGCTGGCGGGGAGACACTCTCCCTCAGCTTTAAGGATGACTGCAGTGAAGAGTTGAGAACAGTCTCCTACTGCTAAAGTAGAAAGTCACAGTCACACATAGGGCCATCAGGAACTGGAACAGATGGCAGCCGCGTCAAGAAAGCATTCGGAGCAAGCGAGGGAGGGCGACTTGGCACCCACGGGCCAAGAGGGAGCACTCGGGGCTCCGGGCCCAGGGACTTCCTTGGAAGACTGGACATCCAGACGGGCACAACCGTCCCCAAGGACAAGGAGGCCTGGGAAACGAGGGCCCCGCCCTGCGGGCTGAACTGTGTCCACTTCCCCACTCACACGCTGACATCCTAACGCCCAGTCTCGGGAGGTGACACAATCCAGGCAGATGAGTTTAACAAAGTGGGCGCTAAGATGACTGGCGTCCTTATGACAAGGGGACACGAGAAGAGCATCTGAGCATGAAGGCAGAGATCGGGGTGCCGCAACCACAAGCCAAGGAATGCTGAAGAATGCCACCAAGCCCTAGCAAGGTCCCCCACGGCCCTTGGAAGGAGCTGACTCTGACACCACCCGTCTCGAACTTCCACCCTCTGCTCTGCGGCACTTGGGTATGGCAGCCCCGGCAAGCAAACACACCTAGCAGGGCCTCAGTGCAGGAGGTGTTGGGACGTTTAAGTTATGAGGGAGGCAAGGCACATCAGCGGCAGTGACCACAGTGAGGTTGTGCTCCTCAGGCTGTGTCCCCCAACCAGGCCGTGCTCTGGTGACAGCTGGAATGTCCTCCCACAGAATCCCACAAAGCACTATATGCATAGATATTCATTCAAGGGGCGCTTACAGGCAACTGCGAACGCCCCAGCAACCTTTAAGATTCAAAAGACAGGACAAATAAAGTTGGGTTAATCCCAATATTTTGGGGAGGCCAAGGCGGGAGGATTGCGTGAGCTCAGGAGTTCGAGACCAGCCTGGGCAACATAGCAGGACCTTGTCTCTACAAATAAATTTTAAAAAATCAGCCGGGCATTGCGAGTGTGCCTGCATTTCCAGCTACTCGGGAGGCTGAGGTGGAAGGATTGACTGAGCCCAGGAGGAGGTCGAGGCAGCAGTGAGCCATAATTGTGCCACTGTACTCCAGCCTGGGTGACAGAGTCCCTGACAAAAAGAAAGAAAGAGGGAGGGAAGGAGGAAAGAAAGAAAGGTAATATAGCTGACCCTTGAACAACGGGTGAGGGGTGGGGGGTTTGACTGCAGGGTCAGTTTCGTGTGAATTTCTTCCACCCCCTCCTCCTCCTCTGCTACCCCTGAGGCAGCAAGACCAGCCCCTCCTCTTCCTCCTCCTCAGCTACCCAACTCAAAGATGGCTAGGACGAAGACCTTGGTGGTCACCGACTTTCGCTTAATGGGCAGCAGACATATTTCCTCTTCCTTATGGCTTTCTCAACAGTCTTTTCTCTGCTGGCTCTATTGTAAGGACATGGTGTCTAGGACCTAAGTGACACAAAAGGATGTGTCCTGTGACTGTTTATGGCCCAGAAAGGCTTCGGGTCAGCAGTAGGCTGACAGGAGTTCAGTTTTACAGTTGTTCCTTGCTGATGTGGAGAGTCAACTGATTTTTGCATCTTGAGCCTGCCACTCTGCCAGACCTGTTCATTCCTTCTGATAGTTTTTAAATTATTAATCCGTTTGCAATTGGTTTTCTACTGTGCTTACTAATTCATCCCTGAATTCGGGCAGAGCTTCAAAAGTGCCCCCAGCAAGGCCAGGTGAATCAGAAATGCCTCCCTCCCTTCTCTGTTCCGATGAAAGCTCCCTCTTGAACCCTCTGCTTTCGACGGCCCACGACGCTAGACCCGGTGCCTGTCACTCTGGGACGGCCCTCCAGTCATCTTGGGGCCCCTCTGCCTTGCCAGGCCCTGTGGCTTCTTTCTCCTGGCTAGTTCCCCCCTTTCATGGGGCATATCGTCCATTGACTTCCTGAGAAAAGTGCACGAGAAACAGATTTTGAGAGACTCGACCTGTTCCCCTTACTTTCCAAGATGGTTTGCCTGGGAAGACATAAATCCATGTGAAAAATAACTTTCCTCAGCATTTTGAAGGCACTGTTTGTAGTTTCAGCGTTTAACGTTGACCTTGAGAGTCCAGTGATGCTTTGAGTCCTGATACGTTTTATGCAACGAAGTTTTTCCTCTACAGCAGTTTTCAGGGCCTTCTGTTTGTCCTCACTGTTTTGAAATTTCAAGACGTGGTTTGATAATAGGGTTTTTCCCCCCCCATTTTTTGACGGAAGGCATTTTAATGGAGAAGTTCAGATTTCCGTTCTGGGAAATTTCCTTATGTAATCTCTTTGTTTTGTTTTCTCTCTCCTGTTTTTCTAGAGAGAACAGACTATTTTTGGTAGCTTTCATGGTAGTTATTTCTTTTTAGCAGTTTCAGAAATTAATATCCAAACCATCAAATACTTGCCACCAGAATGTCTGCAAACTGAGCGACTGAAGATTGTTTTTCAATTATCTAGGATTTTTATTTTATACATATTAAATCTATTTAGATATATTTAGGTATGGCTTTTCTAAAATCATATTACACTTGTAGATACATAAGAAGGAAAATAAAAGCAGAATTGGTTAAGGTGGTTTTAAAACTTTAGCGTTCTAGTTCTTTGAATCACCATTCAAAACTATGTGTTCAACTTTTTTAATGGCAGTAAAAAACATATAATACAAAATTTACCATCTTAAACATTTTTAGGTGTACAGTTTAGTAGTGTTAAATATATTCACATTGTTGTGCAACAGATTTCCAGAACTTTTTCACCTTGCAAAACTGAAATTCATGTGCTTTAAACTACTCCCTGGTGAGTACACTAAAGCCCAGACTTCTTTGCTATTATACAAGGCGACCATGTAATCAAAAAAAGCGATGTGTATCCCCTAAAGCTATTGAAATAAAAGGAAAAAAAAGCCAGGCTCAGTGGTTCAGCCTGTAATCCCCCGCCTTTGGGAGGCTGAGGTGAGTGGACTGCCTGAGCCCGCGGGTTCAAGACCTGCCTGGGCAACTTGGTGAGACCTCATCTCTACAATAAATAAAAAATTAGCTGGGTGTGGTAGCGTGCGCCTGTAGTTCCAGCTACTTGGAAGGCTGAGGCAGAAGGATCACCGGAGCCCAGCAGGTTGAGGCTGCAGTGGCCTGCAACTGCACTCCAGTCTGGGTGACAGAGTGAGACTCCAACTCAAAAAAAAAAAAAAAAAAAAAAAAAACAGAATAAAAAAAGGCAGGGTGCAGTGGCTCATGCCTGTAATCCCAGCACTTTGGGAGGTGGAGGCAAGAGGATTTCCTGAGTCCAGGGTTACAGGACAAGCCTAGGCAACTTGGTGAGACCTTGTCTTTACAATAAACCAAAAAATTAGCTGGGTGTGGTGGTGCATGCCTGTAGTTCCAGCTACTTGGAAGTCTGAGGCGGAAGGATTGCCTGAACCCAGCAGGTCAAGGCTGCAGTGGTCGTGAGCGTGCCTGTGACTCTGGCCCGGGTGACAGTGAGACTCCTACTAAAAAAATAAAACAAATAAAAAAAGAAGAAAAAAAACCTACTCCCTATTTTCTCCTACACCCAGCCCTCAGCAGCCGCCATTCTTGGTGTTTCCATGAATTTGACTATGTTAGGAACCTCATATAAGCAGCCCACACAATATGTATCTTATTGTGACAGGCTTGTTTCACGTGCTGTAATGTCCTCAAGTTTCACCCATGCTGCAACACAATGTCGTAACACGCAAAAGGATTTCCTTGCATTTTAATGTAACAAGTTTGTGGAGACAGAGGAATGCACTGGCAATATGATTCACTCGGAAACACTACATCCAAAATGCAAGGCCTTTGAAAGCAATCTGCAAAAACCTTAAAATTTTGTCATCCAAACCTAAGGATGGAAAAGAAGAGAAAGTTATTCCTTACTTTTGCAAAAGTCAATAAAAACAGTTGACATGCAGTATGGCAAATAACCTTACCCAGTAAGAACGTAGTAAAATTGAAAGTAGCTGCTCAACTAACACTGTTAGGTTGGATTGAAACAGCAGCCATCAGCTTTCCACGGGGCCCTGGTCCCTGGAGAAGAGACCTCATCTCAGCTGCTGTCGTGAGGCTGTTTTGCTGTGATCTCCCCAAATTCCATCTCCAGGGTTTCTCTTTGAAAGGGTGAAGGCAAAATGGAGTAACATTAACTAAAGAACAGATATTTTAAATTGCTTAAGCTTTGTAATACTTTGCTAACTGTTTGTTCCAAGGACAGAACCAGGTTTCTGGAGGTAGCTATTGACAATTGTTTTGCAGTTCCCAAGTATGTCTTGTACTGATTGCTCCTCGATTCTCAGCATTGGTTTTCCAGCAATACGGGACCAAGCTGACCTAATCTATTGTTATCAGTCTTTCATGATTGCCCACCAGCCCGCCAGAGGTTGAAGGCCCTGGAGTCACAGGACTGGTTACCCTAACACCAAGGACACAAGACCTGCACGGCATTATCAATACTTAGGAACTGATAACACCACTGGAGATTTTTAAAATCCTGTCTCCTTGTTAAAACTTTAAAGGGTCCTCTTTCCACAACCTCTAGACTGCACTGCCTCTTGGTGTTGGTCCCGTTCTCCCTTGAGTGGAATAAACTCTTTGGCAATTTTTTGCTTTATTCCCGCAGCACTGGCCCACCTTGCCTCAGTTTACCTAACACCCTTCACAAAGTCAAGTCAGTGCAGAGGGAAGGAGGGAAGTGGAAATTTATTTAAGCCCGGATTTTAAAGCCTGAATCCATTGGGGAAGTTCAAGGGCTTATTGAAGTTTTCAGACAAAGAGGACTTTCCCAAACATCCTTTGAAGTAAACATGCTTGTTCTCAGTGAGCAAGGCGACTCACAGAGCTGCTGTCCATGAGGAAACGCGGGCAGCTCCCCTTGACTGGCAGGATCTCCTCCAGCAATAGCCCCATCTGGGTTCCTTGCTTCCCCGGGGCTCCTGCATGGCTCCTGCCTTCCTGGCTCCCCAGATCCGCATGGAGAACCAGCAGCCTCAGGAGCTGGGGGGGGCCTCCCTGGGGCAAATGGTACATCCTGGTGCATGGCCAGGGATGTCATCTTAGGACTGGGGGTGCTGGGGTCAGTGCATGTTGGGAGAGGAAAAGGGTGGATCATTCACCAAACCTGCTCCCCGGAGCATGGCCCTGTGTGAAGGGTGAAATTGGGTGAAAAGAGCCTGGAGGTAGGTCTTGGGTGGAGGTCTTAGCAGGTGCAATCAGGGTAGGGCAACCAGAGCTGTGGGCCAAGGTTAGACTTAGACCTAGTCCCAGTCAAGACCTTTCCTTATTTCCACCCAATCCCCTGGCTTCCAGCTCTGGTCAGCTGGGGAATCATGGCCCGGGGCTATTGTCTGGTTCCACTGCTGGTCTGTTCCAGGTACCCGGGGCTAGACCCTGCTCTAACAGAAATTAAAAAAAAAAAAAAAAAAAAAAAGACATCCGATGGGGACTTGCCAAGCAATGCTCCAGGTGTATGAAGCAGTCCGTCCCCAAGGAGTGGAGATGGGCTCTGCAGGTCGAAATTTAGAATTCCCTGTGAAAATTGTCTGAGCCATCTGGAACATAATATTACAGAAAGAGCTATTCTGTAGGGAGGAAACTATTCTGTAGGGAGGAACCCTGGAGTTTCAAGAATACCTATATTTATCCCTTTAGCTCAGGTATTTATTCTCAAAGAGATCATAGATGGGCCTCATGAATCCTTTTCAGATCACACCAGCACCCCTAACCTTCACCCCTGCTCCCTTGCTCCGGGCCAACTAGAACTCGGGCCAGGCCCACGGCAGCCTTGGTGCCTACAGTTTCTCTGCGGTCGGCTCCTCCCGCTCTTGGCTTTGTGCTGACTCTCTCAGACCCAGGCAAGGGCACACACTGCTCCAAGTCTCCCAGGCGGATGTAGGTCCCCTGGGGCTCCCTGACCACTTCCATCTCGGGCCCTGGGCCCTGAGATCACTGGTCAGCAGGTGCATCTTCCCCAGGTCGAGACTCCATCACAGACCAAGTCCCCTGGGGCCCCTGACCACTCTGTCCCTGGGCCCCGGGCCCTGAGATCACCAGCCTCAGGGGTGCATCTTCCCCAGGTAGAGACTCCATCAGAGACAAGGTGTGTCTTGTGTGCCATCAGATCTCTTGCATTTGGAACAATAACTAGCCCAAGTCGTTTGTTTAAAAAATGTTCATGGGGGCCGGCCTCAGTGGCTCAGTGTGTTATCCTGGCCTTTTGGGAGGCCGAGGAGAGTGGATTGCCTGAGACAACTTGGTGAGACCCTGTCTCTACAATAAATAAATTAAAAGTTAGCCGGTCGTGGTAGCACACGCCTGTAGTTCCAGCTCCTTGGAAGGCTGAGGCAGAAGGATCTCCGGAACCCAGCAGGTCGACGCTGGGGTAACCATGAGCGTGCCACTGCACTCCAGCCTGGGTGATGGAGTGAGACTCTAACTCAAAAAAAAAAAAAATGTTCATGAGATAGATGATTACCTCTTCTTTATCAGTGTGTTTGAAGGGGTAACAGCACTTGGCTGGGATTTAGACAGTGTGAAAATGCCAAGGGAAACAGGAGCCAGGATGCAGAGAGAAGAGGCGGGGGTCCCTGGAAGCTGGGGTCACTGAAGGCAGACTCCTGGGGACAGCCAGCCCTCTCAGAGGCAGGCCGAATCCTCCTTCACCACGTCTCTCATCTGCTGCTATCACTTAAGACGTGCTGATACCCTTGATGCGCTTGCCAGAGTAGTGTTTAATGACCCATATCTCATACTGTGACATAGGGCAAAGTCGAAACTCACATTTGCTTTGGATCTGTACCTTTTACCATCTGTTGGTTCGTTTGAGGCTAGGAATAAGACCAGCCCGGGCAACATAGTGAGACCCTTCTATAAACAAGCAAGCAGGCAAACAAACAAACAAACACACATACAATAGAAAGGAAAAGCTAAAGGGTGGTGGGGAGACCTGTCAGGGGAAGGTGTCTTGATTTTATTTTCTTCTTAGAAATCCTAGAGGCCGGGCTCGGTGGCTCAGCCTGTAATCCCAGCACTTTGGGAGGCCGAGGAGAGTGGATTGATTGAGCCCGGGGGATTCAAGACCCACCCGGGCAATGGGCGAGGCCTCGTCTCTACAATAAATCAAAAATTAGCCGGGCATTGTAGCGCCCGCCTGTAGTTCCAGTAACTCGGAAGGCTGAGGTGGAAGGATCGCCAGAGCCCAGCAGGTCGAGGCTGCGGTGGCCGGGAGCAGCCACTGCACTCCAGTCTGGGCGACAGAGTGAGACTCAAACTAAAAAAAAAAAAATCAAGAAATCCTAGAAAACTGAAAACAACAGGAAGATGTCGTATTGAGAAGGACCTCCATCGACTTGATCATGAGTCAAGCAAGAGAAGCTCCTCAGAAGGAGAAACTAAAGCCCACTTCATCTGTCTCCAGGTTCCTCAGGGTCTGCAGGGTTGAAAGCAGAAAAGAGAACAGTGACCTTGGAGCCACTGATTCCCAGCCCGGCAACTGAATCTGGGAGATGGCTGCCTTTGACGCTGGTAACTGCTGGCTTCTGGCGTTTCTTGGTTAGAATGTCTCCCCTAACAGATGTTATGGGTTAAACTAGAATGATGAGTCTCTGCTCTAAATGTTTACTATTTTCCTTAAATACTTTAGTTTGTAATTTTACTTTTAAGTTATAAAAAGCAATATAATGGCTGGGCTTGGTGGCTCAGCCTATAATCCTGCGCTTTGGGAGGATGAGGTAAGCGGATTGCTCGAGCCCGCAGGTTCGAGATCTGCCTGGGCAACTTGGCAAGACCTCATCTCTACAATAAATAAAAAATTAGCATGGCATGGTAGTACGTGCCTGTTGTTCCAGCTACTCGAAAGGCTGAGGCGGAAGGATCGCCGGAGCCCAGCAAGTCGAGGCTGCGGTGGCCAGGAACATGCCACTCCACTCCAGTCTGGGCAACAGAGAGAGACTCCAACTCAAAAAAAAACAACAACAAAAAAAAGGCAATATAACATGTAGAAAGTTTTCGGGAAAATGCCCAGTCTCCTTCCATTATAGCACAAAATGGCTGTGTCTTCAGGATCCTTTTGCGCCTTCTTTTCACATGTGGCCTTGATACCCCGCCAGCAGTCAACCAACGTCTGCCAAGGGCCCACGCGGCCAGCCGCTGCGCTCAGCGCTGGAGGGGCAGCCACGAAACCAGGACCTTCTGGAAACAGAGCCGAACCAGGTACGCTTAGGTGGTGACAAGCGATGTGAGGAAGCCAGCGCAGGCCGGGAGACGGAGGGTGACGGGATGGGTGCCATTTCGGGTGGCTTGGAGGGAAGGAGGCCTGGCTTGGGGTGTCGGAGCAGATGAACAGTCAGCGTGCCATGTGACCGGCTGTGCCGCCGTGCAGGTGCCGTGGGACTCGTGTCAGGCAGAGGGAGCCGTGCGTGCAGGCCCCGTGGGACCAGGCCTGGGTGTCTGAGATCCGGGGTCGGCGGTGCCGGACAGGCGAGAGGTAAGGGACGCAGAGAGTGGCGGGAGACGGGCTGGCATCCAGGGCATAGTCGTGCCAGCTCACGAGTCCCCCACGCTTATGGGGCTGTGTCCACCCGAGAGCACACGGTCACATACGTTTCTCACTGCACGGTTCTCACTCTGCACGCGTTTTGTGCACACACGGGCCGCTCTCACTAAGAGCCCCTGCTTTGTCCTGCGGTGAGTATCTCTGGCTTCCCTTGTCCTTTGCCCTCTTCATTGTATTTCAGCTATTTTTTAAAGTATAAATTCCCGGAACCGGAATTCCAGACTCCAGGACTATGAAAATACAAACTACCAAATCTCTCTCCAAGG